CGCCCAACTCGGCCCTGAACCCGCTGCAGCAGGACGAGTACGTCTTCGACGTGTTTATAGGACGTTGAAGACTGACCGTTTTCCGCAGCACACAACCGTGTATTTTCACAATTCGCGTGTATACGTAGCCTGAAACGCGGATCGCCATCGCAGCCTCCGAACTGCTATTCGGGGCCAGGGGCGTAATTAAGGGGGGGATGAGGGGGATATATCCCTCCCAGAGCCTATATAATGTGTATATTTATATATTARTTTGAAGCTTATGGAATTATATGTTTTATCGTGCTGACATCACGACGAAATATATTAAACATAATTAATATCAGGAAATCTATAAATTATTATTTAATTTAAAAGTAAATTTTAATTCTAATATATTMAWAATTTACATTTTGAAGAAATTATTATAATATTGTATAGGTACTAAATTGTGTAGAATTTTAAAGCACATTTATTAACACATTTTGTGTACATATATATTATGTGGAAAAAAATGTTTATCCCCCCCCCTAAGACAAATTCCTAATTACGCCACTGTTCGGGGCCATCCGTATATTTGACGTGTGGATAGGTTTTAGGAGCTTAGCTGGGGCAGACATCAATGGCAGAATAGGTTTGTGTGCTTCACATATTAATTTATGTTGTTTCAATCCAACCTTTCAGTTTAATTTATGTTTATATTTCTGATCAATGAAACCAGTATATTGGACAAGGAGCCRCAAAGGTACATAATTTAATATATAGTTTTATATTAAATAGTGTAAGAACGCAAAAATCTTAAATCAGGTAACAGAAACAATACACACATGAGCGTATTGTACATACCTAATCCAATGCGAAAATGATTATAAATAATAATCAATAAATTCAGCAAAGATTTTCGTTAACGAAAAAACGTATAATCTGTTAAAGCAAATGCATAATACCTTAACGAGCATAACAAACATCATAAAATTGCAATACGTAATATAGCTGTTGAAGTATATAATTATGAAAAATTAGATATCTAATGGTATATATGGTATACAATATAAATTATAAATCATTAGGAAATTCACTCATATTAAAATTATGTATATGTAGGTATTTATTGTATTTTTGAAATTATTGAGGCGATRTATATACGTTCTACACCTCTGCAGTATAATATATTATAATAATATAATTTTATATTTATGATTTACTAGCTGATCCTGCTTGGTGCAGCGTTTCCTGTAACAAATTAAATGTCTGTGSATTKACCATTCTTAAACTTCGTTAAATGTAAACTAAATAGATTTTCTAAAAATTATTTGGGTTATTTTCATAAATTATAAAAATTATAAATAAAGATCTCAAAATATTTTCATTGTCTAAAACCAGTGGGAAATGGCCATCTTATATAAGTCGTCAACATTAAATGTATCGATCGTTTTTTCTCTACTTTGTTTTTTACTGAGGATTAGGTGTGAGGTGTCGCAATAATGAGGGAACCCGGGAAAGTACAATTCCCACAAATACGCCATTTAATAGGACATGGTCGTTTCACACCGTCTTAACCCGCATAATATAAATTATAATATAGTTTACAGTGGGCCATCCAGTGGCGCCGAAGTCCTAAAAATCTAGTAGGGCGAAAAATATTTCAAGAGGCCCAACATCTTAATATCGGAAAAAATGTCATACCGTGGAGAGGAAAATGGTCGATATGAAGCAGCCCTATCTTAAATTTTCAAAGGCCATGGCCGGACCTTAACATAGGATTCGGCGCCACTGGGGCCATCGGCCAACTAAGGTAGTTACTCACCGAAAACATTATTTCGCTGTAACGTTATGCTTATGACCAGGGCTGTGAATTGAATGCACTTAAAACCTATTAAATATGCATGCATATATGTACTAAAATCTGACAAAATATGCTCTAAAAATTCTTAAAATATGCAAATAAAACTACAAAAATAAAACTTTTATTTTTATTTTTTTCATTAGGATAATTTTTTTTATTAATTTTAGTTTAAATATTAGTATTTTTACTTCTTGGTATGAGTATATGAGTATATGATCTTAAATAGTCTTGGTCTTCGTCGAGTTGATATCAGTAAATTAATTTAATCTCGACTTCAATAGTACAATATAGTCAATTATATTACACGTTAAGTACCGAGTAAAAATAGAATAATTTCGATAAAACTATAAAAGTTATAGTTCATACTATAAGATTGACCGAAAAAATGTAAATATTACGAAAAAAAGCATTTAAACAAAAACATGCATTTATATGCCCTAACCCATGAAAAATGCAAAATAAAATTTGGTATTTGAACTACAAATAAGTCAAAACAAATTTTGGCCGAATCCATTTTTTTATATAGTGTAGCGAAAAAAACATGCAAATGCATTAAATTCACAGCCCTGCTTATGACTTATATAATACTGCGCCAGACGCTCAGCAGAAAATATATTACTCGTAGCTTATTATAGATTCTCTAAAATGTATTACATTATGGTGGCAAGTTGCAACAATTAAYCAATATTCAATTTGATTACATATAAATATATTAGCACTGTAGAGGATCGACATACTCTACAGGATCACAGTTATAGCTTTTATATGAATGGGTTGGAAACAGATTGAGATTTACGTTGTAAAAACGTTTATTCTTTATATTCGAAGAAAACAGTTATAGTGAAGATCGTATCAATGATACAAGGCATTGCTTATTGTTTAGTTTTAAAATATTGTTAATATAAAAAAATTAATTTAGACTTTGGCAAGCTAGCGTCAATGTAAAGCATTCATTCTCTACACAAAGGAAAACGGTTATGACGAAGATCGTATCAATTTACAAGACAGTAATATTTTGCTTTAGAAAGTGATTGATGACATATGTAAAATTTAATTTAAACTTTGGCAAAGAAAACCAAAATTTCGATAGAGCACTTTGATAAACAAACAAAAATGAATGCTATCTCTGTACCTATTGCAACAAATTCATGTTTCGTACGTTTGGTATTTGAACTTTAGCAAATATGAAACACTCTACATCAGGGGCGTAATTTGAGATGTTAGAGGATATGCATAAGCCGTGTATTCCCACGTCGCCGAAACCCAATTTTCCGACACCCCAGTTCGCCGACTCTCAATTAGCCGACATCCYAGTTCGCCGACAATTTATTTACATGTTCCCAAAGYCAATAGATACATTATTTAATTATTATAAATAAAATAAAAGTAAATAAAAAGTAATTATAAATATTATTCATGTATAAAATAAATATGGTCAGTAGATATGTTATATATATATAA